AGGAGTACGACAAGGCTGTATATTGTCCCCCGGCTTATTTAACATATATGCAGAATACATCATGCGAAAGGCTGGACTGGATGAATCCCAAGCCGGAATTAAGATTGCCAGAAGAAATATCAACAACCTCAGATATGCAGACGATACCACTCTGATGGCAGAAAGTGAGGAGGAATGAAAGAACCTCTTAATGAGGGTGAAAGAGGAGAGCATCAAAAATGGTCTGAAGCTCAACATCAAAAAACGAAGATCATGGCCACTGGTCCCATCAACTCCTGGCAAATAGAAAGGGAAGATATGGAGGCAGTGACAGATTTTACTTTCTTGGACTCCATGATGACTGCAGATGGTGACAGCAGCCACGAAATTAAAAGGCACCTGCTTCTTGGGAGGAAAGCGATGACAAACCTAGACAGCATCTTAAAAAGCAGAGACGTCACCTTGCCAACAAAGGTCCGTATAGTCAAAGCTATGGTTTTTCCAGTCGCAATATATGGAAGTGAGAGCAGGATGTGAAAGGCTGACGGCCGAATAATTTATGCTTTTGAATTGTGGTGCTAGAGGAGGCTCTTGAGAGTCCCCTGGACTGCAAGGAGAGCAAACCAATCCATTTTGAAGGAAATCAATCCTGAGTGCTCCCTGGACGGACAGATCCTGAAGCTGATTCTCCAGTACTTTGACCATCTCATGAGATGAGAAGACTCCCTGGAAAAGACCCTGATGCTGGGAAAGTGTGAAAGCAAGAGGAGAAGGGGATGACAGAGGATGAGGTGGTTGGACAGTGTCATTGAAGCTACCAATGTGAATTTGAACAAACTCCAGGAGGCAATGGAAGACAGGAGGGCCTGGCGTGCTCTGGTCCATGGTGTCACAAAGTGTCAGACATGACTAAACGTCTAAACAACAACAACAAGGTGTCACTACAGATCTGGAGATCGAAATTAGTCATCACATTTGGTTAAGAAATTAAGTAATGACAAATTGGTAGTCATGTCTAGTGAAAGAAGGAGACTGATCCCTTCTTGAAGTGTATGTCCATTGAGTGGCTTCTTGTGGCAGTAGAATTTGTCTCATGCAGTTAGCTGGTCATAGTATCTATTTTCCCTCCTGCTTCCAAATTTTTATACTATCATTGCCTGATGACGAGTTAGAGAACTTGAAAGCTTGCCTCGTTTGTAACTTTTAAGTGATCCAATAAAGATATTATTCAGCCCAAATAATCGAAGGGTGTGCTTGCTCTATACCTGTATTAAGCATTGAAATTTTTTTTGTCTTTGCCAGTCGTTCCAGTATTGTTTAGAATGCTTATGGTTTCAGTAATAGTATCAGAGGTGGGTGGTGGTAGTAGAGAGGTTTACATTTCTCTGAGTACAAATGAAAAACAGTTGCTTTAACAAAAAACCTAAAGGAAAACTTTTTTTGGGGGAAAAATCAGATGGCATGTGTCTTACAGAATCCCTTCCTTGTTCCTGTCTTTAAATATTAGTTGTTGTTATCACATTTTCCTTCAAATCTGTGAGTGAGGTTGAGACAATGTGTCTGGCCTGATTCACTCATGAAATTACTTGCGTTAGAATATGGATCTCAGAAGTTGCGTTTGTGGCTGTAGCTTCCACACCAAACCAGCTGTTTTTCCTCCTTCTTGTCCCTGTGAGCTGTTTCCTGTTCCTACTATTCACCAGCTCCAACCACCTTTTTCTCCCCATGCAGTTTGGATTGCATTTGCTGTGTGGCCAGTGTGGAGGTTGCCACTTCTACCTTACTTTGTCATCATTGTGCTGAGATATGAAGATCTGAAGAGGCAGGAATTGAAGGGGGGAAAATGGAAAGAAACAAATTTTCCATTTTCCCAGAGGATTCCCTCTTCTCCATTTTTTGCAGTTGGAAAATTTGGAGAACATTGGGGGAAGTTCATCTCTTTTGGAATGGATGAAATTCTTGTAAAGATAGAAGCATGGTATAATTTTTTGAAAGGTGCAGAATTACTGCTCCTATGTTCCCCATAATACACAGCAGTATAAATTACATCTTTGTGGCAAGAAAGCACTAGCAGTATTGAGGAGAAAAAAGCTTATATCATCTTCATTGCTTGTGAATTGGTGTTTGCCTTCTGGTATCTTCTGATCTAGTTTGAGGGGAATAGAAGGAATTTTCCTGCCACTTTTGACCAGGCCTCACTATTGTTGATCTTTCTTCCCTCTCCCTTCAAAGGACTGTGCCACAAGTCGTTCCAAGGGTTTCCTCCTCATCCCACTAAAATTACCACAGAGAAGGGAACAGCTTCGCCCATTTTCGTCAGGCCTGTCCCAGCTCACTGTGTTTCGCTCATTGTCCATACAATGGAGCGAGATATGAAACAGACAATGTGCTATAAGTGTGTAGATATTTTTCAAGAGAAAGCTGGACAACCATCTGTCAGATCTGCTGTGATTTGGATTTCTGCCTCGAGCAAAACATTGGACTGGATGGCCTTATAGGCTCCTTTTAACTCTATGATTCTAGACTCCCATCCCAATGTCCCAACATGGTTTCAGATAGTAGAGAGGGGTTCAGTTGAGTCCTATTTCTTAAAACAAAAACAGCTTCTGTACAGAACGCCGGAACAGTGTATGACTCTTCTGACTGTTTTTATTTTCTGTGGAGAAAATCCTTGTGTGGGGATTTTGTTTTGTTTTTGTGTGTTCTGAATTGGTTACCAATGGCCTTTACCTCATCTATAGGGTTGAAGCCTACCCCTCCTTCTTTCTCTTTGCAGATCTCTTACCCCTTCAATGCATGACCCTAATTTTCATAACAATGGGCAGTGATACTGCAGCAGCAACTGGTCAAGTATTACCGTATTCTTCGCTCCACAATACGCACCTTTCCATAAGACGCACCAATTTTTTAGGAGAAGAAAACAGGAAAATATAATCTGTTTTCTTCGCTCCATAAGACTTTCCACCCGCCTGTTTTGAGGGGGGAAAGTGTGTCTTATGGTGCGAAAAATACATTTATTTTTTTTTTGGATTGCAAAGACAGTCATTGAGCTATTTGTCATTGGTTTTTTTAAGAAAATATTTATTGTGTTGTTCAAATCAAGAAAACAGCTGTGATAATATTGGCCTAATCACAATCATAGCTAAATTAATGAGAGAAAAATCACATGAAAAATATGCCGTACCCTATCACATGATCTCTTTAGCAAAGCACACTTGTAACCCTTCCCCTTTAATTTTTCTGATAATGCAGTAAAAGCAAAGCAATCTAACTATTAAATAGAAATTTTAATAAATTACAAATCCCTATTATAACTAATTTTAAAATGTGTACATTACTTACAACTAGGGATGTCAGCTTTCTTCCTGGAATGGTCCCTGTGCCTTTATCATCTGCACAACTGGCAAAAGACATACCATTGAGTAAAACCTCTTCTGTTACTGCTGCAGCATCCCTAGAAAAAGGATCCATCTTTTGAGTTTTCTGCCTGCTGTGCAGCTGTCAAAGGCGAAGGCAACCTCCTAAGAGCCCTGCGCCTGCAAATGGCAAACCTAATTATAGCAGGGTTAGTGCAGGGTAAGATTACAGCAGCCCTTGGAGTTTATGGCTTTAATGAATTTGAAATAAGACATAATGATCATAGCCCACACAAACTGGAATCATGGTGATGGATTCTGTCAGGTATGTCTTGTATGGATATTTCCCCTACCCTCAAAGTAATGAATGTACTAACCAACTATATTGCCCAAAATGGTGATATTCTAAAACACCTCATCCCGTTTTCCTCTTACAGCATATTCAGCAGTAAGGGATGACAGGTATTGCAGTCCAACAACATTTGGGAAACCATAAGCTATCTGCCCATCTCTTATATAATTTAACATTACATCAATCTCATGTTTTTATTCTTAACACAGTACCCAGTTGCATGCATCTAGGAAGCTCACATACAGATGTAGCAGAGACCACCCTCCCCAGAATGATGTCTTCATCATCTGGCAATTGATGTATATTGCTTAAGATGGTGGAGGCCACATTTAGCTGGCATAGCCAACATTCACTAATCAGAGCTTTGTCATGCTGGTCGGTAGATTCTGGAAGTTGGAGTCCAACAAAAATAATTTTTCCAACCTCTGTAACTTATAGATCTGTTCTTCTTTAATATGTCAAATATCTTTTTTAAAAGCCATTGGAATTAATGTCCTTCATCACAGCTGTGCTAAGGAGTTCCATAAACTGATCATGTGTCACTGTGTGAAGAAACACTACCGTTGTTTTCCCAAATCGTGCTGCTATTCAGATTTATTGTTAAGCAATGCATAATTTGAGCCAGGGCTCAGTTCTTGGTTAGGTGAAACAACAATGAGGAAAATAGGTCCTCTAGATGTAGTTCGAAAGCTTTTCACTCATAATGAAGCATCATAACAGCCCACGCATGCCTGGGTTTAGAAAGTACAGGTTGCAACAAAGAACAGGTTTCCCTGATTTTTAGCACCTTTATGGTTTGGAAAGTATAACACCCACTTTATTGCTGGAATAATTTCTTGTAGAATTAGATGCATATTTGCGACAGCAGATATTTTAAAACTTTCAGGGAAGGGCACATTATTAAAAGGAGAGTGTGACATGTTTACAGCTGTATTCAGATTTCCTGCTCCTGCTCACCCAAGAAGAAATTGGGGAAACATGGGAATTTTCTGAGCTCAGTACAAAAAGGAATGGATGCTCTAAACTGGAACACTGCTCCAGTTAACTGGGAGGAAGGAGATGGTTGCGTGGGATCCGTCATCAAGTGTTTGACTGCAAAGGTGGTGGCTGGAGAAGTCAAATGAAGATTAGCAAAGAATCACAGGGCTTGATTTAGAACTGTTAGCAGCACCTACAGCATAGACTTTGGGTGAACTGGGGGAAGTGAGACATCATGTTAGTCACATACGATTAAGCTGCTTGATATGCTTCTCTTGTACTCCAAGAACATTTTAAAGTACAGGTATGGCAGAGCAGTTACCACATGTTTTTGTTCTATAAATATATAAAACCATATCCTACAGTAAGAACATGTCACATAAGTTAAGTCCGTTTGCAAGACATCTGACTAGCTTTACTTCTCTGGTAAGTTTTCAAATGTATTGAAAAGGAAGAAGCAGAGGCACAGGAGAGATTTGCAAGCTTCGCCTGTGTGATGAGTTCTAGAAATGTATTTTGTTATTTCGAAAGTTAGGAGTCTGAGGATGCAAGTCTGCACTAGATATCAAATTCTATGCATCACTTTAAGATACACACATGTCATTTGTTGTAGCTAATTTACACTGATAGAAATATTTCTCTTGTTCAGTGGTTAGAGTGCAGTGGCTCCCAAGGAAAGGGAAATAATAGCCATTTACTTAGTGGCAAGAGCGAACAGATAATGAAAAAGTAAAGAAAGCAAAGCAGCAGAAGATAATGACAACTCACAGGGGTGATTGTTTCAGACCTCTCACCACCACAGTTTTAGTTCTGTTGGTGAAGGTGCAAAAAAGTGAAATCTGGTATCCAGTGGCCAGCATCTCCCTGAACCTCATTTTTTGGACTGCATCTCCTCATTCTACTCATTCAGAGCTGGTTCTTTTGAGCCAATATTCCTACTCAAAGAGCAGTCTTGATTCTTCCTCATAGTTCTGCCACTTCCATATCAGCTTTCTGATCAGAGGTGAATGATGGTGTTTCTTTCCTCTGCAAAGACAGCACAATGAATTCTACAGAATATCTTTGTTTTCTGTCTTCCTTCTATATTTTATCTGCTTACTCAAGTCTTTTCTGAACCAGCAGCTTCCATGTCCAAGAAAGATCATGTCACACAAGCTAGTTCTTCTCAGCTTCGGTCATGTTTTCGGTCCATTCCAACAACAGATGTACGATCAATACAGTGAGGATGAAGCAGATGCATTTCCACTTCCAGCCTTTCATCATCATTAGTTTAAAATTATAGAGCTGGAGGGGGGGGCTATGGATTGTCAGGTCTAGGCCCTGGTGAAGGAGGCACAGTGGGGAATCGACCTCCAAACTTCTGGCTCCGCAGCCAGGTGTCTAAACCACTGATTCCTTTCTGAAAATTCTGACAGGCATTCATAAGTGTGTACTGGTGCTGATTAGTGACAAAAAACAATTTTGCGAAAAAATGAGATGGGGCTTTCTCCGTACAATTGGTAAAGGTTCACACACATTTGTGTACGCACACAATCTCACACATACATGCACAGAAAAGAAAAATTGGATTTACAGACAGCAATAAAACTTGAGTCCATGGACATATCTCTTCACAAGCCTTGCACAGCTTTGATGTTTTTGTTTCCCTTCTGGGAAAATAAGTCTATTTCCTAAATTTTTGTTAACATTTCACTACAAAACTAACATGACTGGAAGAAGATCGAAAGCATATTTTAGTTATTTAAATCCTACAGATTCCAGGTGATGATGATATGCATTTGTGCATTTACATCTGTGGGATGATTACCAGTGTGGTTCATATAGATGCAGAAAAACATTCTTCCAGATTCTGCTTTTGTCAGTGTTTTGGGGAAGGGCTATTGGTTCCTTATCTGTCTGAAGGATGTCTCATAGCAGGTGCTCAAACAGGCATCTGGACTTCATCATAAACATCCTGGCCTTCTGTTTCATCAAAAGTCACATGAGCATCATCTGAATCCAACTGGAAAGATATTTGAGGAAAGGAATGCTATTAGAAACCATATATGTGGTCCAGGAAACAGTGCACTACCACATAGGTATAGGAAGTCTGTACCTTTCCCCTGCCAAAGATAGTCGTCCTTAAACAGGAACTCTGGAACTGTTATTAAAGTTTGTTGGAGAGATCAAGGGGTTGGGGGAGTCATGATAAAGTTTATTAACTTGAAGGTATCCTTTTATATCTGCTTATTTAATGAGTTAAATATATAATCTGCCACATTTCACTCAATACTGTTAAAATGAATATTCACAATTATGCATGCAGCTGAATTTTTAATTATATTATTATAGTGTACCACTTGCAGCAGTTAAAAGTAACTACCAGGAACAAATAATAAATGAAAGCAGCAGACCATTTTATTCATGGGATCAGTATCCACTGATTCATTTACCCAGTCTGAAAATGTAAAAAATATTAAAAGAAAATCCCCCCAAATATTTATTTTGAATGATGAGTTACCAGAACTGGCCGCCAGAGGGAGTCAGAGACCATGCTATGTGTAATGTTTGCCATTAAAATAGCGTTTTTTAGCATCTCTGGGGGAGGGCTTGAAACCAATCCCCCTCAATGTTTGCCATTAAAATAGCGTTTTTTTAGCATCTTGGGGGAGGGCTTGAAACCAATCCCCCTCAGATACAAGGGTCCTACTGTATGACAAAAATGATTAAAGCATGAAATGAAAATATTAAGCAAGTGTGGAAATCTATGTGACTCTATTAAGTAAATGCAAACATAGCTACAAAGTCTTCAAATACACCCTCCTTACAAGCACACCTGTCTTAAGAAAGTGCGTGGAGTCTTAATAGGTATGTTAGCTATAAAACTCCACTCTTGTTTCTCCACTAAACCTATATTAAAATGCTACATTTTTGCTGTTTTAGGCCACGAATACTGCATTTTTAGATCTTGTAGATTTTGCAAAAAATTAGAGCTCAGTGACATTTAACAGGACGTAACTAGTACTGTGTTTCCTATTTTGCCCGATAATTTTGGGCACATCTTGGGGGTAGTGGGAGTTGAGATCCCCTCTACTTTTATCTTGAAGCAAGGGGTTAAACCTATATGTCCCCCCCCCATTCTGGGGTCCCTCTTTGCTTCTGATTCTTTGACTGGGTGGTGGTAGTGCCCCCCCCCAACTCAGTGAGAAAATGGAGCCAAATTATACTTACACACTTAAGTTCAAGATCACTAAAGATGAAAGGGAGCAGGTAGCGTCGCAAAGGCACAGTCAGGATAAGGATAAATGGCAAGGCGAGAGAGCCCGGACTAGATTTTACTCCCCACAGCACTGCTAGACATACAATCTGGGTGAGGGTGAAGATGTGCATGCGCCAGGTTTCTACCTTTGAAGAAGGAAAAGACACAAGAAACATTCAGGGACGATGGCAATCTCCCATTTCTTTCCACTGTTCATTACTCCCATAACCTCCTTTCAATAGCATCAAGATTACATTACATATTGGTAGGCTGGTTCCTAGGCTTTTTTTTTTCAAGCCAGAGAAAGATTGTGTGCAACCTGCCTACTAAAATAAACAGCCAATTCACACAGTTATTGAGAAAGGACCTTGAAAAGTCAACACAGCTAATCCTTTTGCATGTGTTTGCTTACATGTCTGCCATACACTGAGATCACTGTGTCTATCTAGCCCAGTATCATTGCCTATAGCTGAGGAAAGGTCTCTAAGGTCTTTTCTAAGATGGAGGCCTGATGGAGGCCTATTGAACAGGAGATTGGACCTGAGGTCTTCACAGGTCTCCCTGAGCTACAACTTGTGCAGGGACAGTGTGCCTCTATTGGTATTTTATTTCTAAGCTAAAACAGTAGGCCTCAAGCCTGTTTGAAAGCCATCATCCTCTCTCACTTAGACACCCTTATTTTCCTTTTTTTTCTTTCCACTATCCCTGTGCAATTGTATTCTCAGTAAGACTCCATGCCTTCTGGTGCCAACTGATAACACTGGAGACAGAGTTCAGGATTAAGATATGATAATCCCCAGTTTAAACTACCAGTTATACAAGGTTGAATTCAATTTGAGTTGATATGCTAAAAACTAGTGACTAATTTCTGAAAGAGAAGAACACCGAGATCTGAAATCTTTATCTGCTGCCTTAAAAGTTCTCTCAGAATTACAGTGGTGCCTCGCAAGACAATGTTAATTCGTTCAGCGAAAATTGCTGTTTTGTGAAAACATCGTCTTGCGAAATGTGGTTCCCCTTTGGAATGCATTGAAATCCATTTAATGGGGAAAATAGTCGTTGTCTTGTGAAAATTGCCCATAGGAAAAACCGTTTTGCGAAGCGTGGACCAGTGTCAAAAAACGCTATCTTGCGAAAATCGGTCCCAAAAAAACCGTTTTGCGAGTCGCGGACCTAGGGACCAGCTGTCAAAAATGCTGTCTTGCGAAAATCGGTCCCCAAAAAACTGTTTTGCGAGTCGTGGACCTAGCTGTCAAAATCGTCGACTTGCAAAAAAACAGTCCCGAAAAAACCCATCTTGTGAAGCACAGACTGAAACATCGTCCAGCGAAAATCGCCCATAGGGAAAACCATTTGGAGAAGCGCTGTAGCGACTGCAAAAACACATCATCTTGCGAATAAACCGTTTTGCGAGGCAATCGTCTAGCGAGACCACTGTATAGGAGACTGGCTGCCCTAGTTACTCATCAATGAAACAGAAATGCTTTTCTCATACTTGGAAGCAGACTGGTTTATGAATATTTTATACCTTTCAATTAGATATCTGATTTTAAAAACAAATAGCCAGATTCTTAAAATTGATCACATCAGCTCTATTTACTTATCAGATGACAACAATGAATACTTAAATACTTAAAATAGTTCCCAAGAGGAGTGGGCTGGGTTTTTTAATGGATTTATCTATTTCCTCCCTGTTCCCCCACCTGGGGGTCAGATTCAAGAAATAACTGTTGCCCACAATTCCACATTCTAATCCCCCTTTACTCTCTAACTTACTTTTCTAGCAAAAGCCTCATCGGGATGGTATTTTGGTGGCTTCAACATGAGAAGGATGCGATCATATAGCTGAATCCCATTGAGAGATGTCACTCCCATGTAGAGAAAGATGCCAAAAAGGACTGCAAGTGGAATCAACTTCAAAATGGGTTCCATGAGGATGGAGAGACCTGCAGGTGAGTAACAGTTCATGTTAGATGATGATACAGCTCTATGTGGAAAGCAGAGGTCAGGAGAACTCTCCTTCCCAGTTAGAAGGAATGAAGTAAACAATAATTGCTATGCTAGAAGCTGGGTCAAGACCACAGTTCACCATTGTGTCTACCAAGAGCCACCAGTCAACTGAACTATACATCAGAGAGAACACATCTTTAGAACAGAAAATTCCTTATGTGGTACAGGATGTCTGATCATCAGAGCACCTCAGACAGTTTTGCAAATCAGCTTACTTTATTTTGTGATATGCTATCTGTAATGTACAAGGGATGTGGTGGCGCTGTGAGTTAAACCACAGAAGCCTCTGTGCTGCAGGGTCAGAAGACCAGCAGTTGTAAGATCGAATCCACGTGACGGAGTGAGCTCCCATCACTCCTGCCAACCTAGCAGTTTGAAAGCATGTAAATGCAAGTAGATAAATAGATACCACCTCATTCGGAAAGTAACGGCATTCTGTGTCCAGTCGCGCTGGCCCCGTGACCACGGAAACTGTCTTTGGACAAAAATGCTAGCTCTATGGCTTGGAAATGGGGATGAGCACCATGTCCTAGAGTCGGACACGACTGGACTAAATATCAAGGGGGACTGTTACCTTTATCTTTACCTGTAATGTAATAAACCAGCCCCGCGCATTTGGATTGGACACCTTAAGGCCCTCAAATAGGCACAGGGAATGTCTCAGTCAAAATATTATGACAAGTCCTTAGTTCAATGGCAGAAGCTGCAGTCTAAAAATACCAGGAGGGTCAGAGGTTCCTCACCCTGGTGTATATGAAGTGAGGTATGTGGTAGTGGAGATATATGTTTGTGTGTGCCTTAAGAAGGTAATGATGGAAAGTCTCACCCGTCTCACCTGTGTGCAACTTTTGTTATAAAACATTATGACATTTCTCTCTATCACCCTTTTTTAAAATAAATAAATAGTGCATAAATATAAACTAACATGACAGTTGTATCTAGTAAACAGTTGTCTTAGCAAAAAGGAAATATTCTGAAAAACTCACCAACAAGAATGGCCACCAGAAAGCCAGTGAGCCTCTGCTCCTTCACCTGCTGAATATGGGGCTTCTCCCCTGGGACTGTAGTTTTGGCTACTACTGTCAAGGCATTAGCATGTGTGATAGTCCTCACAGTGGTGGCACTGAGCCAGGGCATACCAAAAAGTGGTGCAACACCCCCCATGCTAACAATTAGAAACAGATCAAGATGGAATCCTGATCCTTTCACCAAGTTCCTCTCCGGTTTGCTCACAATCAGCCTGAAAGAAAGGAGAGGCAACTCAGGAGAATAATTTGATTGACATTTTCCCATGACAACAGACCTGACATCTCACTGACTGGTACAGAACCCTCATTCTATGCTTGTGCAATGTAATCATGGAATCTACAGATTTTTTCCCCCTTACTCCTCACCCACAAGGTTTCCCATCCTGAATTGCAGCTATTTCTTCAAATCTCCTATTTTCATCTATTACAGTCTCTTGGCAATATTTGTGGATCGAAAAACGGCTTTATACCTTTTTATCTTTATCTTTATATATATATTTCAATTCCTTACGTGGTGATCTGTGACTCCAAGAAGATAAGAATGAAGACCAAGAGAGCTGGTAAAGCTGCAGCAAACATCATCCAGATGGGGAAATTAGTATCTAGTCCCATAGGATTGATAAACCAGCCCCGTACAGCTGGATTGGACACCTGAAGGCCTTTCGGAACTTTCAGTTTCTTGAGGAGAACAAAGAAAACAAATATCAGTAATTTTTTTTAGATCTGTTGACATTCTACCTGTTCCAGTCTGAGAAACATTGCCTTTGCTTAGCCTTCCAGTTAGGACACAATAGCACAAAACTTGCAACACACAGAAAGGATATCAAACTCATTGTCTTCTGACCTAGGACAGAAGGAAGCAAAGCAACCAGTTGCTCACCTGAGTATATGTAATGTCCCCAATAAGGTTGTCCGCCAATGCCATGATGAAGATGGCAATGGGAACACCAAAGTCACCAATCACACGTCGGAGCTGCCAAAGAACAAAAGCCATGTTTATTTCACAGTATAGGACTGAGGTTAGAAGTTAAAGTAGGACATCTGAATTTCTGGCAATTAGACTGTTCTAGAAGGTTATAGGTTCCTCTTTTGATAAAAAGAAGTTGCCAGTCTTTTAAAAAGAGACAGCAATCAGGCTGCAATCAAAGAAACCTAATGTAGGCCTAAAAGACAAAAGCAGGGTTAATCTAAATGCCAGCATCTCCTCCCCGCACAAGATGGCTGAGTGAACGATCACTGGTCAACTTCAGGTACTCTTGGATGACAGTGACTTTGCAGATCCATTTTAGTGCGGTTTCAGACTTGGTTCTGGAACAGGAATTGCTTGGGTTCCTCAGTGAAAGGAATACATAACACACAGCCTTACCCTAAGAATAAGTAGCTAAGGCAGTATGGGATAGGCCGAGAAAGGGAAATGGGAAATGTGAGTCTATTGGTTCTCTTAAACTTCTTACAGCTTTTGATATGAGTAACCATGGTATACCCCTGCATAGCCTATTCAAACTAGAATGTAGAGCCACTCTATTTTGCTCCTGTCCTCCCAGCATAATTCTAGGAGGTGATTGTTCTGTCCCTTGGTAGTTATGCTGGCTACAGTGTTCCACCTAGGGCTGATTCAAGACATTTTGCCGTCTGAGGCACAGAAGCAAATGTTGCCCCTGCCCAAATCAAGATGGATAGGAACTGAAACCAGGCAAGTTATTACAGTACCTTAATGCTAGACAGTTAACAGAAAATGAATCCTGCTATATATTCCAGTGTCCAACCACCAACCAACAGAAAAGAGGCAAAACAGTTTGGAACAAATGCTGCATCTGTGAGACAACTTGGTATGCTTTTTTTATTGAAAGTTAAGATATTTAGGATGCTGAATGCTACTCTCAACATGCTATATACTTCACATGGCAGAAAGTGCTCACTGCAAAAAGCCCAAAGCTCTATGGATAGGTACCATGACATCTGCATACATTTTTCACACAGACAACGTCCTACAATTTATTATTAATCCTGTCACCCAATTAAACAAACCTCAGTGGTCCAATTAGTGCAGTCTTATACTTGTCTACTCAGACATAAGCTTCATCAAATTCATTGGGACTTATACACAAGTAGCCATAGGACTTCATCCTCATTTATTACTAAAAACTTCAGACTGAATACCCTGGAACAAGCTTGTTTTCTGCAGCCACAGAGGGTAGGACCCAAAGTAATGGATTTAAATTAAGAGATAGGAGGTTTTGCCTAACCATTAGGAAGAACATATTGAACAATAAGCATTGTTCAACAGTGGAAAGGACTGCCTCAGAGGGTGGTAGATTCTTCTTCACTTTAATTTTTAAAACAGAGGTTAGATGGCCCCCTGTCAGCGTTGCTCTGGATTAGCTGTGAATTTTCTGCTTTAGCCAGGGGTTGGATCTGGGATATTTTCCAGCTCTACAGCTGTGTTATTCTATGGTAACAGTATGAAAGTCCTGTTTATTCTAATTTGAATTAGCTTTTCTCCTAGTACACTGGCACTTCAATTTCTAGCCCATAGCATGTTATTCCTTCCAGTTACAGGCTGGGCATTGCACAAGGACAGAATAACGCTATGTGTGCAGGTGCAGGCATCAGCTCTGCACTCGCAATGTTTCCCAGACATGCAAAAACTCTATTTCAATCAAATGCTATTTATAGAACTTACCTTGCCAGGAAAGAAACTGCTGTTCTTGAACTTGCGCAAAAAGAAAGCAAGGAAGAATGTCCCAGCCATAAGAACAAGAGAGAGCAGAGCAGTATTGGGCTGGGGCGTTGTTGGATTATCATCTTGAAAAGTAGTACTGTTTCTATACTCTTGTTGCAGTGGGTGATCTCCGAAGATCTGTGAAGGGGAGAGGAAATGAAGTAGAAAATGGAGTAGACAGGAGGATGGGAAGGGTACAAGAGATTATACAGCAACCCCAAAGTAGTATGCATCCACATCAAACCATGGCTAGATTCAGCAGAAATTTCTACTCCAAACCCTGAAGAATCAGAATGAGGTGGTAGAATCTAGGATGTTAACATCAATTGTTGCACACGGAAAATACCTTTTTGTATGTTCATCATGTAAAGAAGCAAACTTCAGTCTGAAGTGGTACAGTCCATTCTCACCATGTAAAAGTAAGTGTGTGTGTGTTGTGTGTGTGTGTGTTGTGTGTGTGTGTGTGTTCTGTGCCATCAAGTCGGAATCGCCTTTGAATTGTACAGTATTATCCATTCAGTCGTATCCAACCCTTGGCAATCACATGAGCCAGCTCTCCATGATTTTCGAACTTGTACAGCTTCTTTCAGCTGCTTTATATTTTGGCCAGTGTGTGCTTTGATTACATCCAACCAACGTATTATTTGGCATCTTTTACCACTAACCATTCTGAGCATAACATCTTTATCCAATGATGTTGATTGCTTGACATGGCTGAAATAACTAAGTCTAATCTTTGTTATTTTGCCTTCCAGTGACATGTCTGTTTTATGTGCCAACTTATAGTGACTCTAATAGGGCTCTCAAGGTAAGTGAGATATTTCTGGAGTGGTTTTACCAATTCCATTCCCCCAATCAGCTTCTATGTTAAGCAAGGATTCTAGCCTTCTTCTCCAGAGTCCTTGTCTGTCACTCTATGCGTTACACCATACTGGAAATCCATGTAAAAGTACTCTCTATAAATTGTAAAATAGTAAGGTTCTGGCCCAGCTCTTCATTTGCGGTGTTGTTTTTTTAAATTTGTCACAGGGCATGGAAAGTTCAGAGAATGGAATGCTGCTGGCCTGGTAACTGTGATCTAGTTTGGGGGGGGTTCATCCTCATACGTTGTACATCATGCAGACATTTTCTACATACAGCCTCTATCACCATGCATTCCCATGAACCTCTGCGACTCACAGGGAATCCTCATGACTCCTGCAGGGCAGCAGGGCACATTTCTAATGGTTCAAAGAAATAGCATGGGAATGGCACGGAGGTGAGGGCGTTGTTCTGTCTCCTTCCAATCTGAAGGCTGATAGTCTCATAATTTGGCCAGTGGGGTTCCCACTGAATTATGAGACTGGGAGTCCTTGAAATCCAAATCCCCACCCGGATTCCTTACCCAAGCTTTCTTAATTTCATCAGAGGCTTGGTAGGGGTCAGGCATGGAGAGATAGTTTGTCACTACCATAATTATATTTAGAATTCAGATATCCTTGCCAATGTGTTGCAAATCACCCTGAGAGCTACCACTACTTTCAAAATATTACCTTTCCCTGTTTAAACTGATGAGTGAAGTGAAGCTGAGCATGTCCACCTGAATTCCAGTGGACACTAGTTTTCTTCTTTCTTATTAGCTGAAAGTAATAAGTCCGTAGGCTCAGACACTGGATAACCTGACCACTCAGAATAGTGCCTGTGCTATTAGATCAAACCCCTTATTCAAGATATGTGTTTGACAATTAACGTATGATGTTTATGTGTTTCAGATACAATACAACTTATGTTTTACCATCTGCTTTGGCCCTATAAATATGATGAAGAAAAGCCTGTCTTAAGTGTTAGACTGACTTCAGAAGGTAATTCTTGGATGGCTTGCTAGAAAGGAGAGCAGGGAAAATGGGTCCCATCATACTCTAAAGAATTCCATAGTATTTTAAAATTTCTACAACCCTCTGATTTGTCATAAGGGAGGGCCAGAGTTCTGTAAAGCTGCTTACGGTGATGTTTTACTAGAACATCTGAGGGAGATTGCAAATAGTCATTTTGAAATAATCTTTTTGCTGACTCATTTTGTGGGTTTGATTTTGCTTGTGCTTGGATTTTTGTTGTTGCTACCATCTAGGCCAGTGGTTTGTACCTTGAGTCCACAGATGTTCTTGAACTACAACTCCCAGAAGTCCTTTGCCACAGCTTAGTGGTGAAGACTTCTGGGCTTTTTAGGCCAAGAACATCTGTGAACTAAAGTTTGGGAACCACTGATCTAGGCTTTACATACTTAGAGGAATGTCTAGGCAACATTGTGCTCTCAGTTTTTTTTTCAGATTACAACTCTCATAATCCTTGATGACTGGCCAAGCGGATGGAAATTGTAGTCGAAAGCATCTGTAGTGTATTAGATTGCCATCCTCTGGTGTAGATGAATAGCAGGGCTTTTAAAAACATAAAGTCTATTCTTTGCTCAGTTTCTCATTTAGGAGATCTACTTTTGATGCTTGGGAGGTCTATTTTTTGGTGTGAAGAGATACTATGAATTGATTGATACATTCCCCATCTTTCTCCTCAAGAGGACCCAAGGCAGCTTGCAATATTAAAACAAACAATATGGAAACTGGAAGGGAGGGGGAGGGAATGCAACAAAAGCGGCAACCCAGTTACTAAGAAAAAGCTTGCCTGAAGAGAAAAGTCATTGCCTGCCTGCAGAATGACAGTAAATAAGAGGCTAGCCTGACTGCCAATGGGAGAGAGCTTTATAGCTTAGGTACTAAAGATATCTAGCTTTAGTTACCTGTCGTTCTGAATAAATATAACAAATTTAGCCATTTGAAATAACATATAGATTCTCTAACTCCAGCATCCCCTCTACCAACTTCTTTCTGCTTCTTGCTTCTCTTGGGCCTTCAGTTCCTCATGCTTCAAGCATCTGCTTCTTACAGCTTTCTCTCCCATGGTCCTCCCTCCCACTGTCCTATCTACTCACCCCAATCAAGTCTCTTGAAAGCATAATTCTGGGCTAAAACCTCTGGCTTAAGCTCTGTTTTATTTCTCTTCCTTCCTACATATTTTCATGCTCCCTCCTTTCTTTCTTCTACTGTTCAGTTTCTATGGAAACCATTTCTTGACATGCTTGCTTTTCTCTGTGTTTTGGGGGTGGGGAAAAGAAAGCAGCCAACTGAAGCTATTCTATGGGTTTTCAGGGAGGAAAAATGCCATACTGTATAGTAGATGTTACTATAACCTTTAATAGCAACAGTATGTGGTGGGAGAAGACATGGTGGGCAAGGGGCAGTTTTACAGTGTATGACAGAAGGACACATGCCAGTATCAGAGACATGATTATACCTAATAACTGTAAAACAGCCTATTTACTATATGGGGCACAGAAAATGCATGATCACCTAAAAAGGACAACAGTGCATCTGTGCCAAACACTAGGTAATAGAATTTGGCTCAAATATACATTTTTACACTATGTAGCATTTAAATTTAATCTTTAGCTTTAAAGGCTCAAAGTCTGTCCTGTCACTTATGCCATGGTGATTTTTTGGGAAATAATGAATTTCTGAGGGAAAAAACATTTGGGGGGGGGAAATGTTCAGCACCTTGAGTAGTTTCTTTAAAGTGCAGGTGAAAATCCATGGTTGATATATCATAGTCACCACCCAAACCTAAACTATAACAAAAGCAAGAGCCAAACTATGTTACCTTGATAAGTTTGACGAAAGTCTCAATGATGAAGATGAGAGAGATAAGGAAAGAGAAGATCTCTTGAGTGTAACGGGAGATGAAGCGCACCAGGAAACTCCCTTCAAAAGCCACCACAACAACCACTATGAGTATAAGCCAAAAGCCAATCCATACTCTTCCGACGATGTACTCTAATTGAATATCGCCACAAAACTAGAGAGACATGGGTAGGGCATGCCGAGAGGGGAAAAAAATCAGGAGAAATTAGTGAGACACTGGGAGTTCTTTCCTTCCCCTGCAACTAGATTGGGAGGAAATGACCTTCACTTGCTCTGCTCTTCCAATACAAGTCTCATAGATATTTATAGCAGACTTATATGTTTCCCAAGCTTCTGGTCACAGGAAGGAACACAGGATTTGGTATTCCATGAGATATTAAAGATCCTTAGAAGCTGAGCTTTATTCTTTAAAAGTCTGTATTTTTTATTACTGGTTTCCCCAACCCAGGATTCTCTAGTTGTGTTTAACTACAAATTCCACCATTCTAAAGCCAAAAACTATGTTTGCTGGGGACTGGTGGTATAGTCTAACACAACTAGTCAGAGAAGGCTGCCTACCTAAAAACACATGGAATATAGTGAGGTACATCAAATGCAATCCTCAGGAATTTAGACTGTACATACTGTACTGCCTCAAGCAGGCGGGCATCTTTATGTATACAAAGACCTGAACCCTACAGAAGTGGGGCCAGTACCTTACCTTGGAAGACTTTTAGTACAGATGGTATATAGGAGCCCCCTTTTGAAAAGAAGAAAGGATGGGAGTGATAGTTCTTCAAAAATTTCAGTGACATGAGCAATGTGAGCTCTCCACAGCTCGTTCTCTGAAAAACTATACCCGAATATTTCTATATATAAACAAGCAATCACTTAAGAAGTATGTAGGTACCTGTGAAATAGAACACTTACCTTGAAAAAAGCTTCTTCAAAGACTAAAAGGGGTCCAGAAAAGCCAACCACAAGCAAAGGCTGAGCTCCAAGCAAGCAGAAGAGTCCGCTTTGAACTGCAGTAGAGAGTAAAAGCTCTGATACTCCCATCCAGTGTTTAGTCTTATCATCTGGGGACAGTGAAATATATTATGAAGAAACAAATAATCCTCTTCTTTTCTATACAATTCAAGGTCCATGTAGGTGATACATATAGCACCTTCATCAGAAGAGAATAGACACCTGAGAAAGACATTTGACTGTCATAGAAGAAGCTTCCCTCACCTCTTGCAGCTTGCACATTAGCTTGTTTTCTTTTGTGATCGGTCATTGCAAGGTAAATATGGCCCTGTTTACAAGACTGTTCTCTCAGACTTGGAGTTTGAGGGGAATGTTATTGCTGAAACACTGACATGTTATTTGGTTTCTAAGATCTGTGTCATCTACTTTGACCTTCAGAGATCTAAGCAGGATTTTTTGAGGAGAGATACTCTGAGGTTAAAGATAAGCTACAATTTTAAAGAGATGTTTAACTTCCCATACAAGCATACTTCCTTTGTTCCACTGTACCTTTCAGTTAAATAAGTCTTGCAACACAACACACACACACCATTCCTTATCAGGGATAAATGTGGAATAAGCAGACACCATGAGCCATAAAAGCATTTTTAAAGTACATCTAAATTGTGGGCAAAAATACTTCCATCCCTAGCTGAAATTACGCAAGACAACTGAACAATTTCAAAATCAGAAGGTTGCACTCCTATGTTTATTTGGCAAAAGACAGATTCGGAACTTTATATATAGCAGGACAGAATTTTCCTAAACTTGAGATACTTTATATTTGTGAGGCACTGCAATTCTAAGAATGCCACAATCAACATAGCTATTGTTCTTGCTGGGTGAGGATCTCTGGAAGCTGTAGATAAAATGTTTCCAAGTTCTGGTTTTACTTTGTTTTTTCATATATATGCTATCAAAATCTAGCCCCAGAAAAATAACTAAATGTATACTATATAATTGAAAACTAGGGTACCACAGAAGTCTCTGTAGTCTTAAAAAATATTTCAACAGGATTGCTGGCTAGCTCAGTGGTTTAAGTATCAGGCTGTGGAGCCAGAGGTTGGGAGCTTGATTCCTCATTGTGCCTCCTTGTTGGGCTGGACTTGATAACCCATAGGGCCCCTTCCAGCTCTGTAGTTCTAAGATTATTAAAGAGGTTTTTACTGTTTCTTTATAGCATTTTTCTGTAAACATATGAATAAGCAAACAAAACCTACGAGAAATGTCTACTAGGATCCCCCTTTATAATTTTCTGGCTCACGTTTGCAGGACCAAACGCTAACTGTATATGGGAAGGACTAGGAAAGAAACAAAAAAATTATTGTTGCAAAGAGTTTTTCTATTTCTGTTCCATTCTATTCCCTAGCAGAGAGAAAGAGAGAGAGAGAGAGAGAGAGAGATTCTAAGCTGTTGGTCATGCCAGTGTGGTTCAAAATGTTTTGTGACCATTCTCCCTCACTGACAATTGATTTGTGATTATTTGTAACTTTGCAAATAGTAACCCATAGCACTTACCCAACAGGCCTCCAAAGGTAATAGCAGGAGAAAGGGCAGCAAAGTAGATGAAGATGACTGCAGCCAGACATTGAGGGTCGAGAGCATCTTTGATGTCACTGAGGTACTTGGGGTACCGTCGTTTGATGTCTTTCACCAGTCCCCCAAAAAGCCTGCCAGTCCGGCTAAGAGGGTCGTCGTCGTCGTCTGGCTTCCCAACCTGGTCTTTCAATTGTTTCTCTGCTTGAGACAGAAGACCACAGGCAAAGAGAGAGAAGAGAGGTGTGAGGATAATTTTCCAGAGAGAAGCTGGCCTTGTTCTTTGGGAATGCTCGTTCAGTGGAACATGATGTTCTTTGAAACAGCTTTTTTTTTCCCCTTTTCACAATTGTTAGCTACCCTTTAAATGAATGTTGGACAAGGGCTGGTTCCAGCTGTGGGCAAAATATCCTCTGAGTTGCTCAGAGTGCCAGGCCAAGAAAAATTAATGGGGGAAGTAGAGTGGGCGTTACACATGTACCCCACCCAGTGTTCCAGGACCTTGTCTGATGCTTGCCGTGCATGAGATGCAGTAACTGGAGGTGCTGGCCAAGTTGAATTTGAACCAGAGCTCAGCTACAGAAACTGTTTGCGGTGATGAAGTTCAATCCCAGACCATATGAAATAATCATGAAGAGAGACGTGTGTGTATGTGTGTGTCTGTCTGCCTGCATCTGTGTGTGTACATGTGTGTGCACCATTCAGTGTGTGCAGAATGTTTTTCCACCAGGTCTTAGTGCAATCTTTATATTTTTAAATATCTGTGCAAAGGCAATCCAAATATTGTAAACTTCCTAAAACATGCACATTGGCGTGTGGTTTTTGTCTTCTGCGGAAAAAAAAGCCAGGAATGAAGTAATACAAAGCACCAAGACTCTTAGTGCAATCTTTATATTTTTAAATATCTGTGCAAAGGCGATCCAAATATTGTGAGATTCCTAAAACATGCACATTGGCATATATATTTTTGTCTTCTACAAAAAAACATAGCCAGGAATGAAGTAATACAAAGCACCAAGACCTAACTCCACTTGCTAATCTGAAATAGAGTATCAATTACTGAATAGTAAGCCAACATTTATCTAAATCCCATTGAATGAAGTAATACAAAGCACCAAGACCTAACTCCACTTGCTAATCTGAAATAGAGTATCAATTGCTGAACAGTAAGCCAACATTTATCTAAATCCCATTGAATCAATGCTTATATTGGACTTGAGGATTTGTACTTGGATTTACACCTAAGGTCTTTATCCTGTGATTACTGGAAACACTATTCTTCCATTTCCAACTTTTGTAGCATGTGAGATGCCCCTAGAACTTATTCATTATAAGAATTTTAGAAACCTAAATCAATTGCTGAACAGTAAGCCAACATTTATCTAAATCCCATTGAATCAATGCTTATATTGGACTTGAGGATTTGTACTTGGATTTACACCTAAGGTCTTTATCCTGTGATTACTGGAAACACTATTCTTCCATTTCCAACTTTTGTAGCATGTGAGATGCCCCTAGAACTTATTCATTATAAGAATTTTAGAAACCTAATGCAGTCTTAGTCATAAATCTGATTTCCGTAGCTAGTATGAATGGCTGTTGATACAAACACACTGCCCTGACCTGTCTGTCTGTCTGTCTGCCTGCCTGTTTGTTTGTTTATTTATTCATTTATTATTCATTCATTCATTCGTTTGTTTGTTTGTTTATTTATTTATTTATTTATTTATTTCCATGCTGCTTTTCTTCCCATAAAGGACCCAGGGTGGCTCACAACAATTAAAACTGTACAATAAAAAAAGTTTAAAATGCTATATAAAACCATATTTAAAAGAATTCAACAGTAATAATGATTTAAAACTATTTTTAAATATTTTTTAAAAAACATTTAAAAATATCTAAATTTCATAAGACTCTGCTCACAGCCTGATTTTGATCCCCGGTAGCTGGCTCAAGTCTGACTCAGCCTTTGCAACAGTAATAATGATTTAAAACTATTCTTAAATATTTTTTAAAAAAACATTTAAAAATATCTAAATGTCATAAGACTCTGCTTACAGCCTGATTTTGATCCCAGGTAGCTGGCTCAAGTCTGACTCAGCCTTTCATCCTTCCGAGTTTGGAAAATTGAGTACCCCGCTTGCTGGAGGAGGGGCATTGTGTATCTGAATACTTAAATTGTAAAACTGCCTAGAGAGTGCTTGGCATTACGAGGTTGTATATGAGCAGCACTCTTTGCTTTTAAAACTTTGCCCAAAAATTGAATATTGAAGGCTGTCCAATACTTATCCAGTAAAGTGAGAGTCAAGAAGGGCTTTTAAAAACAAAGATCTTACTATGGCTTCCTTTAAGCATACTGGTCCCCCTGCCTTGCTGCAAGGAGGCATTCACCACTCTAATGCACTGAGCCAGTCCCCCTCTGGCTGCTTTTAAAAGCCAGAAAGGGCAAGGGTCCACGGCTTCCTTTAAGCATACTGGTCCCCCCAGCCTTGCTGCAAGGAGGCATTCGCCACCCTAATGCACCGAGCCAGTCCCCCTTTTAAAAGCCAGAAAGGGCAAGGGTCCAGAACATATGTGGTGGCTTTCGGTTCTTCAGAGATCCAGTCCATATCCATTGGCTGCACTAACAAGACAAGCAGGGGCCAAAGTTACATCAATGGGACCTGTTGATTGACTACACTACAGCATCTAAATCAGAGCAGATCTGAGTGACCAAGTGCCATACAAATTTTTCACAGTAGGCTGGGTGGGCTGTAGTGGTAAATTTGGAAGAACAGGCATTTATCATGATAGTCACTGTCATACACTCCTCACCCCCATAGTAAAAAATGCAGACAACTGGATTGGTCCATCCCCGTAAATAGGGAGCACGTCTTTTGCAAAGCTACCTGTTCCCAATTGCCTATTCAAAACCAAACTCCTTTCCATATCGGCATTACAACGGGGATAATACAAGGGAAAATTGGGTTTTCTTCCTGATACTGTGAGGACTACACCAAAACTCTGAAGAAACAGGGACACCAAACAAGTGGCAGATGATGTTATATTCCCTGTTAACCACAGAGCTAAAGAGCTTTAACCTTGCAAACCCAGGGACCACTACATCACTGCTTGTCATACTACTGAGTAAGCACTGCCATCTCCACATGTGGGGGATGAGTTGGCAGAGCTGCTGGAGCAGGACACGTAGCTTTTAAGCAGTCTTAGATTCTTACCACCACCTCCAGTTTAAAAAATAGACGTGCAATGGCACCCCTATGTCCTTGTAGCCTGGTAGTCAGCAGGCAAAGATGATGGATGAAGCGACTCTTCCCACACTGTGCCATACCTAGGCTTTCGATGAGCTCCTCCCTCGGCAGCTTCTTCTCCACTGGCAGGTACCTCTTACGCAGGAGCTCCTTCTGCACGGGCAGCAATGCCTTGAGGAGTGTTTCGTTTTGGATCTCACTAGGTGGAAGGACAATGCAACAGTCTAGGAATTCCTCGACACTCTTCACCAGGTCTGGCCTTCCCTCAGCCAAATAGGCCTCATTGCGGAACACCTGTCCAGGAAAATAGGAGGGACGTTTGTTTGAAGGCAAGACGCAACTTTTGTGCACCGCTGCTGGACTTCCAGATGTCCTGGATTTGGACTCCCAGAAGTTACAGCCAACAAGACCAGATGCAAAAGATTGTGGGCCATGTATTCTAAAGCATAGATGGCCTAAGGTATTCCACTCTTGAACTATCTGGCATTTTAAAAAAAGGAAAAATAATCTCCACACCCCAAACCCCTCTGGGCCCAGTAGCACATATCTAGCAAGGCTTATGAAATGGTGGCTTCAATGCATTTCTGTTCCACAGATTTTCACATACCGTACATCACATAGGACTTGCTTTGTTAAAAAGGAGTGTTCAAGGCATCCTGTCTTGTCTCCTAGCCAGGCAAACCAAGGACAATAATGTTTATACATGCATATTTTTTCAGAGCGATGTGGTATGCAGCCCTGATTTTGAAACTTGCTTTAAGCACAGAAGCCTGGTTCATACACCTGACCAGGATCAATGTTTCTTCTGCATCATTCCCAGCTCTTTGTGCCCAGCCTGATGAAGACCCATGCAGCATTGAAAAACAGTTATTTTTGTGATATTAAGTAGTCTAATAAAGATACCCCACGATCCTTGCCTTTAAATCAATTATTAGGGATAGTAACCGTGATGTAGAGGAAATCTGGAGAATGAAGACTAATAATAACTGCATGGCATCAAGTGCATTCTAACTTATAGCGACCCCTCCCCGTGTTTTCTAGGTACAGAATACTGTACACAGAAGTGCTTTACCATTCCCTTCTTCTGGAAGGCCGTGGGGAGTGTGCCGCTTGCCCATGATTGCACATGCTGGCTCTTCTCCCAGAAGTGGGCAATCAAACTCCCAGCTTCTGGCTCCACAGCATGATATGAAAACCTCTGAACACTCTGGCCAGCTCAGTCTGAAGAATAAACTTCAAATATCATATCCATTTTCCATCCTCATTTTATTTTTTATCTATATTTCTAGAGACTTAATGTATTTTCGTTTCGTTTAGTCGTTTAGTCATGTCCAACTCTTCGTGACCCCATGGACCAGAGCACGCCAGGCCCTCCTATCTTCCACTGACTCCCGGAGTTGTGTCAAATTTATTCTGGTAGCTTCGATGACACTGTCCTGCCATCTCATCCTCTGTCGTCCCCTTCTCCTCTTGCCCTCACACTTTCCTAACATGAGGGTCTTTTCCAAGGAGTCAAGGACGCTGGGAGTGTACCGCTTGCCCATGATTGCACAAGCTGGCACTTCTCCCAGAAGTGGGCAATCAAACTCCCAGCTTCTGGCTCCACAGCATGATATGAAAACCACTGAACACTCTGGCCAGCTCAGTCTGAAGAATAAACTTCAAATATCATAGCCATTTTCCATCCTCATTTTATTTTTTATCTATATTTCTAGAGACTTAATGTATTTTCGTTTCGTTTAGTCGTTTAGTCATGTCCAACTCTTCGTGACCCCATGGACCAGAGCACGCCAGGCCCTCCTATCTTCCACTGACTCCCGGAGTTGTGTCAAATTTATTCTGGTAGCTTCGATGACACTGTCCTGCCATCTCATCCTCTGTCGTCCCCTTCTCCTCTTGCCCTCACACTTTCCTAACATGAGGGTCTTTTCCAAGGAGTCTTCTCTTCTCATGAGATGGCCAAAGTATTGGAGCCTCAGCTTCAGGATCTGTCCTTCCAGGGAGCACTCAGGGTTGATTTCCTTTAGAGTTGATAGGTTTGTTCTCCTTGCAGTCCAGGGGACTCTCAAGAGCCTCCTCCAACACCACAATTCAAAAGGATCAATTCTTCGGCGGTCAGATTTCTTTTATGGTCCAGCTCTCACTTCCAATGTATTACTGTTCGGTTTATTTCACAGGTCTTGCCTACGGAGACCCATATAGCAGAATGGCCTACTTTACAGCACTATAGTATTGCCACAATAATAAGGTATGTAAAATGGCTTTGACAGTGCAAAGCACCATATGAACCAAAGGTGGTGACAGAATATATTTATATTTTACCTTGAGGGATACATTTCCCCCTTCTGGCAAACAGAACTTCATAGGTCGAGGTCGACGCCAAATACTCCTCTTCCCTTGTACTTGTATTTTTTATTGTAGCATTCACATTTATTTTCACACACATACGTGCAGACTATGTAGAATTTAGGGTTTCCCGCTTCTGGCAAACAGAACTTCATGGGTGGAGGTCAAAGTCAAATACTCCTCTTCCTTTGTACTTGTATTTTTATCGTAGCATTCACATTTATTTTCACACACATACATGCAGACTGTGTAGAATTTAGGGTTTTTAAAAGCTCCTACTGGGGTGGTTCTCCCCACCCCAACGCTCCAATTCTTTCTCTGGCTCCACAGCATGATATGAAAACCACTGAACACTCTGGCCAGCTCAGTCTGAAGAATAAACTTCAAATATGAGAGCCATTTTTCATCCTCATTTTATTTTTTATCTATATTTCTAGAGACTTAATGTATTACTATTCAGTTTATTTCACAGGTCTTGCCTACGGAGACCCATATAGCAGAATGGCCTACTTTACAGCACTATAGTATTGCCACAATAATAAGGTATGTAAAATGGCTTTGACACTGCAAAGCACCATATGAACCAAAGGTGGTGACAGAATATATTTATATTTTACCTTGAGGGATACATTTCCCCCTTCTGGCAAACAGAACTTCATAGGTCGAGGTCGACGCCAAATACTCCTCTTCCCTTGTACTTGTATTTTTTATTGTAGCATTCACATTTATTTTCACACACATACGTGCAGACTATGTAGAATTTAGGGTTTTGAAAAGCTCCTACTGGGATGGTTTCCCCCCTCCAAGCCTGAATGTTATACTTTGGTCAGAAGTGAGGTTGGAGCAGGTAGTGAGGGATAATTATATCCCCTACATCCTTACATCCCTTCCCTATATAATAAAATGAATTTAAAAAATAGCTCTGTTTGGAACATTTCCCCCCACCCCCAAATCTCTAGAAGCAAAGTACAGGCCAAAGGCCATCCACCAGTTTTCTATGCGCCCCCCAATATGAACACTAAGAATTCTATTTATCCCTTGATAAAGTTAGCCTGATTCCTGAACATTCTGCTGATAGTCCAACAGGTTTTCCTTTGTTGTGTTCTGGTTAGGCTTTCTGAACCAGGTTTCTTTAACTCCTGTGCTTTTCTCAATTAGAAAAAGAGGTTTCTCAAAAACTGGAGGAGATTTGTTTAACCCATGAGAGGCACAACCCTGAAAACTGAAAATGTGCTTTTGTTTGGTGATTTGACATTCGGAGGTGAACCACACGTTTTGTATAAGAAGCTGATTGGGCAGGTTCTGCAGGTTGGAAGGAAGGGGGTCCCTGGCAGGCTAATGTTTTATTGAGTGCTACCAGTGAAGCCAGTGTCTTATTTCGTTTGGCCCTCAGAGGCTGAAGCATAGCTCACACCTGCTCAAATGTCTCATTCCAGGAACTGCTAGATGAACACCACCAGTCCCACAGCACTCTTGGCACTGGGGCTACACCCAAGTAGGCTCCTAACTCGTTGATCAAATTCATCTCCTGACAGTCCCTACTCTAAAAGCTTTTAAGGAAGGAGATCCCATAATTTCCTCAGGCAATTTGAGGTTACAGGGTTTCCGACTTACCCTTTCAGACATCATTGTTGAGATGGCTCTCCCAATCTCGTGGTAGCTGATGTGGGGGGATTCTGGACCCAGAAGCACAAAAAGAAACCTGACAGGCACAGGGACCTCCAGGGCTGAGTCCAACTCCACTGCATCCTTCAAGCGTACAAAGGCCAGAGTGGGGCGCTCCAGGAAGCTGGCACAGCCTGAAGGGAGGATGGAGGAGCATGGGGCATCATTTATTGGCCTTGGCACAAAGAGAGGAAACAAGAAATACGGGCCATGGGCGGGAAGGGATGCAAGCAAAGGCAAAGGGGTGGAAGAGAAGAGGGACAGGGGAAGAAAACAAGAGATAGCAAAGTGAGCAAAGTTTGCAATCAAGTTTTGATAAGCTAGACAGAGAAACAAAGCATAGTTCATGTCAGAGGAAAGCATGGCTTTGTCCCTTGCCAGAGTCTTCCCAACATGAAGCATCAGAAGATAAGCCAAGCTGTGCTAATTAGCATATATTTTGTAGAAGAATGTATTTCCTTACTGACATAGAGCTGTCCCTAATAATTGAAATGAGTGAGGCAGAAAATCTGGGTCAATTTTAGAACAATACCAAATTGTTAGTTATATGATCTCTCTTTCTCTCTCTCTCTCTCTCTCTCTGTGTGTGTGTGTGAGTGAGAGAGAGAGAGAGAGAGAGAGAGAGACAGACAGACAGACAGAGAGAGAGAGAGAGAGAGAGAGAAGGAAGTTTGATTCAACTTTTTGGATTTTCCATCTCAAACTCTCTGGGTGGAAACTGAATTTTGCCTTAATTTTCAATAGTTTAAATTTGATTATGCCCATTTTATGTTTTATGTCTGGCATAGTCTATTGTTTGTATATAATATACATTTAATTTGCTGTACACCACCTGGAGTAGCAATTTGTTAGATGGGCAATATGTATATATAAATTAATAAATAAATGGGAAGAGAAACAGAAATAAGAAGTGCTTGTGCAAGTACAGTATTTGGTAGTTTCAGATGCTGACACTAACATCAACCACTGAAAACTCTTCTGTAGACCCGAGTTTGAATTTGATGTTCCTTGTTGTTTGAGGGAAATTTTTGTTTTGCATGCTAGTGAGAATTCAGCTAGTGTCACCCAGCCATGAACTTAAATTCCATTGGTGGAGGTTATCTCTTGAAGCAAAGATACAATTCCTTTCTCTGTGGTTTTCCAATAAACCTTAGACAACTGAGACAAGTTACTTTTTGGACAATTTTTCTCAAAAATCTGAATTCTAGGAGTTGTAGTCCAAACCCCCTCCAAAAATAAATAAATTTCTAAGCTCTACTAGCCCAACCTCAAAGGCAGATGGCAGTGTTCCTTACTGATCCGGCTTCTCTGTAAAAGCTTGTGATATGAGTTATGCTTGTGCAAGGTGCTACAATGTCTTTGTCTTCTTTATTTTTATTTAGTTATTTTTTGTCTGGTGTACTTGTACAACACTTAACCTTGCTGTTTCCTGTTGCCTTTAGCTTCTGTACTTCATGAGTGAATGTCTACACATCTTAACGTAAGCATCTGTGAGGAAAATTACTGTGCTGCCTGTGACACATGAACTAGGCCTGCCTCATCCCACGATGAACACCAGTACAGTACATGGAAATTCACAGATGGCTCTCAAATGCAAGGTGACAGTAGTGGGCTAGAAGTACCTGCTGAAATGTCCCACAAACAGCAGTGTAAAGTTAGGGTCACCAACTGTTGAGAAAAAATTACTAAGTGCCTTGGCCTGCTCTTGTGCTTTTTCTTCCGGAATCAGTAAGGTAAAAATTTCATGACAGAGAAATAAACATTACCCTCATGATTGCTCACCAAGTCATTGTTACAACTAGAGGAAAGAAGCTGGCAAAAAATGGAGCCACATTATTGTAAATAAATTCAGAATTTTCTGGCTCAGGAGCAGAGAATAGTGTTAGACTGCTTGCTCACATACATATTGTATGGCCCTGCAATTAGGGCAAAAATTTAGATGCTTTTGGTGACAGTGGAGTAGTGGTGGTCTCTTCGATATTATGGATATACCAGCTGTTCCCTTCTGTGAATGCCACACAACCTGTCCCAAGCTTCCTACAACAGCCTATTTGCCTCTGGGGCAAAGAGAATGCTGTCCCATCAGCAGTGCTGGGAGAGATTCAAGGGCCAAGACAGTCAGCTTCTGCACATGGACTAGGGAGGGAGCATCATCTTGCCCTTTGCCTGGGTTAGACTCCCAAGAGAGACAGACAGACAGACACACAGACACACACACAAACACACACACACACACAGAGAGAGACAGAGCTGGGTAGGAGAGAGGAAGTCATTATGTTGAGAGATCACATAGAGCAGACCATGGATAAATACAGTACATTCAGAGGAAATAGCATCCTGTTAATGAAATTAAGCTAGGTGACTTCTTTCACCATATTAGTGAATCAATAGCTGGCAGATAGCAGATTAGTGTTAACAGACAGAAATGCTAGGGAGACAATGAAGTACAACCAGATGAAGCCTCACATAATCAAAGGAACACATTTCAAAAGTTCAAAAGAACTGTCCTAGAGACTATGGCTGAAGATGCCTGCCGGTTGAGAGACGAAGCTGGGTACCACTACATATGTCTCCAGCATCCTAACCCAACACATGCACTGATCAATATGCCTGGAGCTTTGTCTCTATCTTTCTTTCCCTTACTTCCTTCTGTGTACTTTGTTATTGCCTACCCAAACCCTATTCCCCTCTTTTTATCAGAGGCTGTCCTTTTCTGTTTCCTTTATGTCTCCTTACTTGTATTAAGAATACCCCCCACTTTTCCCATTTCTCTCCTTACCCAAACTTTGACTAAGCCCGTTTCACTGCCAATGTCATTAATCTTCCCTAAAAGCATCTTCCTCAGTGTATTTCATTCCCCATCCTTTCTCTGCCTCTATATACCACTACATAGCATATTATTACCCCAAATCTACTCCATTTAACAAAGTATTATGCACCATATCTACCCATATGGGAGGTAGGTTGAATGACATACAACTAATGACAGTTGTATTTTGACTGCATGTTGATTTCATTTGTACAAATATTTTTGCTTACAAATATTTAATTGAATGTGTATATCTATTTCATTACTGTGTGCTTATTGTATTCTCCCTAGTTGGAGTCCTGGTCTCTTTGCCTGGAAATAATGCTTCATAGCTTCACAGGTTACAATCTTAGCTTACTTCAATTTATTAACTCTAATCACTACACAATTTTCTAATCCCCTTGTATAGAAATATGAAGCTCCTTTATAAAAATTCAGACCATTGCCTTGTCTCACCCAATATTACTTACTAGCCCATAGTAGTAGCAATTTTTCATGGTCTCATCCAGAAGTCTTTCCCAAGGGTACATTCTGTTGGAGATCCCAGGGAACATACCAAGTGCCATATGCTAAGTCAGACCATTGGTATATTGAGGCCAGTAGTGTCAACTCTGACTTGGAAAGGCTGCCCAGAGTTGCTTTCTGCACCTTGCCTAGAGATTCCTGGAATTCTCTGATGATTTCCCATCAAAGTATTAATCAAGCCTGGCCCTGCTCAGCTTCTGAAATCAGACACAACTAGACATGTTCAGGATGGTGTGGTAGCCAAGGATCTTGCAGTGGGAATGAACCCTGACTGTGCAAACCTCCATCAATGGGTCATGGACCAAGCATGGGTCCACCCTATCCCAACATTTGACTCAATACACTTTCACCGTTCCCATAGCCCTTCCTCTCTCTCCCACTGCAAGATCCTTTCTATAGTCACACATCCAAAATACTTACCAACCAGGACTAGCGTGGCTTCTGCTTCAGGTGAAATCTTCTCTGAAAGTGGCTTTTTCAAAACGCCGCTAGTTGATTCTTCCTGCAAGAAAAAAAACAATCACTGCTTTATCCTCAAGAAGTGTTGTGAAGACAAGTGGGGCGGGGACACAAATCGAAATAATTTCATAACTTGCGCTCAGCTTCATGCTCTGTGACTGTTTGGGGATTATTCCAGATATGGAAGTTATTGTCACTGTGTCTGGGTAAGGAACACATAGAAATAAAGCATTGGAATCTCTTTTAATGCAGGGACTCTAGGAGTTTTATTTACAACAGTGCATGCTGTCTGTAGTATGAATGACTGGGAGGGACATTTCTGGGCTGGGATGATTGATCAGCACTAGCCCCAGCCCTTTGCTGAATGTTCTATCCCTCTCTATCATCAGTCGGTGGCAGTTGTTTGTTGCTGTTGATCTTCAGCACTAGCCAATCATTCCTTCCTGCTTTTGAAAGAGCTCCAGCCCTTTGCCGAATGTTCTATCCCTCTCTATCATCAGTTGGTGGCAGTTGTTTGTTGCTGTTGATCTATTTGATTGGTTGCTACGATGTGTGCAGTAAAGAAAACAGTATACACAAATGTTGTAATTTCAAGCAATTGTAAGTAAAAAACATTTTTTATTTTTTTCTCCTACAAATGTCTCTGAGTGAGTTACTTTAAGTGGCAGTTAATGAGTAAGGGATGGAGTCTGTGGAACTTGTAACTATTCTCCTTTGTGGATCTCTGTGTAGCAAAAGGAGAATTTTACCAGAAATCCAAAACTCTGCAACAGAGACCACAATGACATTCTCTACCAGCTCTCAGCTCTCCCTTTTCATAACTCGTCATTAGAAGTGATAATTTATTTTGGTTTCACTTCGAGTTCCAATGACTTACAGTTTGGTCTTTTGCTCAGAGCTGCACTCCTTAGCAAGTCAGAAGGTGCACTCTTTCAGCAGCAAAATACTATTGCAAGGTACATGTTTCATATTTTCAGACAGCTTGACTCTAGGCTATTAGGTCCAGTGGACAATATACAGATTTTTTCAGATCAATTTCAACAATTCAAAAACAGAGACAATGACAGAACGACTTCAAGAAAGAAGGACAGCAAAAAGCATTCTGAGTGTTTTGGAAAGTTGTGGGGTGTTTTTTTTTTTGGCATATTATAAAATGTTTGTTACCTTCATCTAGATTTCTATTTTTATGTAGGCATATGTGCTGTTCTGTATACTTTGTATGTACAGAAGAAGTACTGGCAGATGCCCTTGGATGCGGTTATGGATGCTCCTTGAGGCCTGAGTTATTGCTGTTCTTGTGACAAGCACCTACACTGGAAAAATGTATCATTGCTGCTAACAGTGCACAATCGTTTCGCTTCTGCTATTAAGTGTATGTATTGCAAAACCAAACTTCTGTTAAAGCTTTGCTTTCCCAAGTGAAAAAGGGAATCGTGCCCCCCTCTGCTGCTTTTATTTTTGCAGTTTCAGTTGCTTTGCTTTTGGTTCGCCTCATCCCGTTGCTGGCCACCCACACTGAGAAAAAATAGGTCTGATTCTCCCATGATAATTCTTTGAACTTGATCCTCTTGGGGAGCCCTTGTCCCCATTTCTGACATATGAAAAAAAATACACTTCTGACTGAATACTTCATGCCAGTGTTTGTATATGTTTTTAAGAATGCAGCCTGTTGATGCCGGGGATCTGGATGCTCTCATACCCGAATCTAGACCTGGTGTGTGTACTTTCCAACCATACGAGTTTCTATGATTAACTCCTGGTGCTAGGAACTTAGACCTGAGCATAGCTAGGAGACAAAGCTCATAAAATAAACTTCTGGGGGATCACAGTTGGCAGAATCCACCAACTCGTATGGTTACCAGCCGTATTGGCTGGAGGATTTGGGAACTATGCTAAGAAAAGATGGTGTTTTCCAAGCTCTTCAAGATTTAGAACAAAGGCTTGAACCGCCTCTGAAGTGAAGCAGGCAGAAGATGCTTCACTTGGCTCATGTTGACATCTATGCTACCTCTGCCAATCCAGAGGCTTCAGACTGCTGCCAATAGGAATGCTGCACTGCATTTGCACACCTTTTTCCTATTTTGTCCCTAAAGAAAGGTCTGAAACTTGGACACAAGTGAGTTTTGGCTCAAGTCAGGACTTTCCACTGCCATCTGATGTTCTTGGTTCACGTTTCAGAATTCCTCACACTGTGCTCACAAAATGGCTGCTCTCCCCTGCCGGAATCCAATGAACCAACATTCCCTTACCTTCTCTGAGCTGGAAGGCAAGATCTTCATCTCAATTTGTTGGTGTTCCTGCAAAAGCGGCTCTGCAACATCTTTGGCTTCCGTCCGTTGCAGTCGTGCAGGAGAAAACGAGCCTAATGAAGTGGAACCATCAGGGTGACTGGACCCGAGAGAAAAGCATGGGAAGGAAGGAACAAAATATAGAAGGAACAAAATACGTAAGAGGGAGCAGTTTGAGTGCTAATGCCTCCAAAGGGGAATGCACCCAGTAAATCAATCCTTTATTACTAATTTTATTCACAGTCAATTGATTTCATCAAATATTATGTTTTCCCATGTCACTTTCCTACATTCTGGCACCATGCCTTCTATTTTTTCTTACCTCAGGTTTCTATTAAGAAATAGCTACACAGTCTCTGGTAGTGCAAGGGGCTTTCGCTCTAGAATCACCCACAGTTCATCTGTACCTTCCACCTACCAGATTAACCCCAAACTTTATAAATTTTCTATGTAGGGTCAAGGAAACATTCCCCTTCCTTCCTGTCAAGTGATCTGTACAGTGGAGCATGACAGTTAATGACAGTCAATTAAAAGCAGTTGAGGATAATCTTGAACTGAAGTTTCATAACTGTTTGGATTAGAGAGAAATATCTGGAAGGTCTGAAGCTGTGGTGTGGAGTATGGACCAAAAAAAACCCAACACATTAGATATAGATTCAACAACACATAAAGCACTTTTCAGGTGGAGCGTGTGTCTTCGTTCCCCCCCTCCCCATTTCCACATCTATGTAAACAGGCATCAGGACAAGTATCCTCACCACAGTGGTGGTGTTAGAGCACAGAAAAAAAACCAGCGAGCTTCAAGAGGGGAAGGGAAACACAACAAAGTGATGCAAAATAAACCAAGGGATTGAGGAGGGACAAAAAGGTATGGAAATTCATCTAAAAACTATGTTTATACCTGTATATACCAAGAGAGGATGAAGGTCCTCTGACAGAACCCATAGTCCACTTCCTTCTGTGAGTCATGGCTAGAAAATGGTTTTCTTTTCCAAATCTAATCTTTTTCTGTTGTGGCCGTCCTAATGTCTCTGTCTTTTGCAGCTTCTGTCCTACCTTCTGACCTTACTCTTCTTCAGCAACACAAAGCAATGTGTTGCTTGTTTTCTAGAATACTCCCAGAAGCCTCCTAGTGCTATCAATCGAAATAATTGTTCAGCTATTCCAACTTGCCCTCCTTAATGGAGTTGTTCATGGTAACAGAAGAGATGGGGGGAAAAGGTTAAGGATGGGTTCCCCTCCACATAACAACCATTTTAAAAAACATTTTGAAGGAAAATATTTTGTCTAGCAAAAAAAATACCCTTGTGCTCTCTAGGGAATTTGGGGATCAATTTTGCAATGTTTTGGGAGTCCCCAGCATCCCACAATTAAAAAAATTACCCACCTTTACAGCATATGACATTACCACTATATCAAAACCAATGTGGAAGATATATCAGGGATCTCCTACCAACTCTCCTCAGACTGACTAAACTACAATATTTGGATGAGTAGCGAAACATTTTAGCCTAGCAAGAAAGAAGTCCAGTTGCCATGACTCAACTTCTAGATAACCATAAATGGATGACTGAGAATCTTCACAGATAACCACTATATTAATATTTTAACAAAAGTAGTCTATGGTAGGAAAAGACTAGTGGGTTATAAATGGAAGGTGAAGATATATGGACACCTCTTTAATATTATATGAATGAGGGTAGAGCATTTTATGATGAAAGTATTATCTGGAAACATCCCTAATCTATGGTACAGAGCCTGTGTCACCCAGTTGTCAGAGGAGAGATGAAAAGACCATCTGCAAGGGGAGGCAGGTCAAAAGGGCAGCAAAGACAGGAAACTTGCCTTTATCATCTCTAAACTCAAATCAAAGATCATCTGAATAACATTTTGTCTTCTTTGTACATCCTACCCCTTATGTCTTCCAAGAAACTCAGTTTTGTGCTTGTGGTACTCCTGTTACTGATCTGATCCTCACAGTATTAATTCTGGACTGGGAATTCAACAATTCAGAATCAAGTCCTCACTCAGCCATTAAACTCACTGAACAACCAGTCAGCCTTACTTGTAGGATAGCTCAGTGCTTTAGGTATTTGGCTGTGGAGCCAGAGGTTGGGAGTATGATTCTCCACTGTGTCTCCTTGACAGGGGCTGAATTCATTTCCAGCTCTGCAGTTCTAAGATTACTTTCCACACAAAGTGATGGCTGTTGATAAAGCAGGGAGGAGGAGATGCATGCACACTCGGAGAAAATATTGATACATAAATGGAACTAATAAATAAGTTTAAACATATTGCTGGATCTTCTCACAGTGACCACAACAAGCTAGCCAGGTCTTCCTTATCACAGTTTGTTATGGTCTTTGTAAGAAGGAGGGAGAGAGAGAGACCCCTCTCTCGGGAGTGCCGTCCCTCCCGCCAACCGCTGAGAAAGAGAGCCAGACCCCGCCAATTCCCCCACCCCGGAAGACAAGACCTCCTGGACATGAACTTGGGAATCTAGAGGGAGATTTGAAAAAACTAATGATTACTGAACCTGGGACTACCTTGGAGGGCATGGGAGAAAAAGGGCAAGAAGTAGTAGAGGAGGGGTTGGGGGATATAAGGAGGGGGAAAGGAGAATTGCTGGGAGGCTGGGAGTGGATCTGGGTGGAAGGTTCATGGACGGGGAAGACTGAAAAGCTACGAGTCCCCAAGGAAGAGGCAGCTGCCAGTAGGAGACAAGAACTCAACCCCAAACCATCCTACTGAGGTGAGAGAGAAACAAAAGAGTGGCAGAGGAAGTTAAGAGAGGAAAGAGAGAGAGAGTGGAAGGAGAGCGAAGGGAGAGATTAGGATACTGTATGGGAGAATCAACAGAGGGGGAGGAAGAGGAAAGAGAGAGAGAGTGGAAAGAGAGCAAAGGGGAGATTAGAATAGAGGATACTGTATGGGAGAATCAACAGAGGGAATTCCTGGAATCCCATGGCAGACGAGGGAACCCCCCAGGGAGTGTGACTGGGTGTGGGTGGCAGACGGGGGAAACCCCCCCCCCCAGGGAGTGTGACTGGGTGGACATTCAAGAAGAGGACACCATTCCCCTGTTGGAAGGAGAGGAGGGGCTATTACTAAACCCCGACACCCCACCTGAATGGCCGAGACCCTGGAATAACCCAGGTGGGAATCCTTTCAAAATAGAAGGATAGGACCCCCCATCAGACCCGTTGTCGAAAGGGGAGAAGGTTTGGAATGCATTTGTTGACACTGGACTTTTGTTGAACACCCCAGTATTTGAAAAAGAAAAAGAGCTGGCTATTGAACCCTCACACTCCTTTACTGCTCCTCACTTTTCTCCTAACCACCTTTTTGCATACAGCTTGCTTGCTCTGTTTCCCCTAGCCTGATTTATGGTGCATCATCATGTCCTTCTGTCTGCACACTCTCTGGTATTCAACTGGGGAAACACCAAACTATCTCATTAGTCCATACCTGTGCTGAAGTAACAGTGTTCTCAAGACCAGCTCTCGGTCATCTGTCTTGAGTTGCCCTTCGAAGACCATTTGATCAAGCACCTGATTGGCGATTCCTGCTAGACTCTTCTCTTCTAGGTCTAGTAGAATGGTTCCTACAGGTGCAGAAAGATGGAACATCGGCTAATAAGCAAACACCCAGAAGAGACACTTGCTAACATTTAAAAGATGAAAAAGACAAAAATTGGTGACATTCCGAGATAGTTTTTAAAAGTATCCCTTCCCTTCCAGTAAATGACCTTCCAATAAATGCACTCGTCTTGTAAACTAAGAGTGGGCAATATGTGGCCATCCAAATGCTGTTGTACTGTTATCTCCCATCAGTAGTAGCCAGCATTACTAGTCTGTGGTGAGGGACGATGAGAGCATAATTCCACAATTTTTGGAAGGTCACAAGTCACCCACTTCATTGCAGGGAGTCTGAAACTCTTTCATTATATTTGTGATTATGTATTGTTGGACAATTGAAAGATACTTTTCTTTCCTAGGCAAGCCTGTCTCTCTGAAAATCTCTTTCCATTGTTAACATTAAACTTGCTTGAGAGAGGCAGTACCTGCTATGAAATGCCACAAGGTCTCAAAGTTTATGGTAAAAACATCTGCAGGTAATCTATTATCAGATCTCTTGTTTTGAAAATGCTTCCTCTTCGCCAGGATAAACTGCGTAAAATTTGTGCTTGTGCAATGGGAAAGCAAAGTCTGGAGGTGGTTGTGAGCATTTCTATTGCTTTGACAAGACTATCATATCTCAGTCACATGACTGGTTCCTATATGGTTTATTGCAATACCTCAACATTGGAACGTCACTACCAATACAAACCCTTCTTCAAGTTTCCTCACCTTTGGTAAAAGCCCTACGTACATCCAGAAGACTTCGATAAGTCAGGTATGAAAGATGAGGTCTGCCCCAGTGCCCCAGATCATCAAAGTCTTCCTCCAGCTTGATCCAATGGGAAGCCTCTAGCCAGCGAAACTCATTGTTGTGGTCCATGATCAGTTCATGAAGTTCCACGTATCCCTAGGGAAGATGGCAAAGCCCTATTATAATGGTTGCTATTTTGCTCCCACCTTTCAGGACTCCTTGTGTCTTTAAATATGTCATCTGGCAAAATCCAGAACCATATAAATGCTCTGCAAGAATTATCTTAGGTTGTGAATACATTGGGAAATAGATCACACTCTGGACTGTTCGTGGAGCGGTTTGATTTGATCTTTTCTCTGGCAATTACATGACACACAGGGAACTATGCTCAAGCCCAGCCCTAGGCCGCCACCCCCCCCAGCTGGGTGTTTCTGATCCAACTGTAGGGCTTCTACTTTTGGGGGGCAAGTTGGAGCAATTTTATGGCAGACTAAATAGCTGCCATTGAAGTAATCCTTTCTGGTGTGGTCAGGTGCACACTTTTGCATCATCTGATTGCAACCTCACTTAAACCTGGATCTCTCCTGGTCTTAGATCCTTACCTCATGGGATGCTCTGTGGGAGGTAAAACGTTGTCGGGCAGTCTCTGCAGTGCCTGGCACCTCACCAGTTGAGGAGCCACCTACGAAAAAGAAAATACATTTCTTTATTAATTAGCTTTGAATTCAGTTCAATCTCCACTTCCTCCAAGGAGCTCAGGCTGACATGAAGGACGTTATCATATTATATGCGTTCAACAATCCTGTGAGATAAGGTATGCCAAGAGGTACAGACTCACTAAAAATCTTTCAGTCAACTTTGTTTAGACCCAAAACATTTTATCCACTTCATTAGATGGTCTCAATGTGTAATGGATGTGTATTGTGATTTTTTGAACTTAAATTCCTATTCTCGTGCTCTAGATGTGGAAGGTACATGATATAAACTTCTGTTAGCTGCAGAGCATACACTGTAACTCTCCAGTTTCATACCCAGCATCCCATCCAAAAAACCTACTGATTTTTAAAGGACAAGTGCTATTTTTATGAGGGAGATGGTCACTGTGTTTTTGGGAAGGAGTAAAGTAAAGGGCAGATACTGACCATTCAACAATGGCAGAATTACAGGGGAATTCTTGACTACTGTACTGCCAAGAGGTGAAACTCACACAATTATAAGCTGATGCCATGCTAACACTTTAGCAGTGGGTCTCCTCGGAGCATTGTACCTGAGCAATCAGACTTGCAAATGAAGCCCATATTTACCTCCCAGTGACCAATCCCCAAGCAAACCAAACTAATTTGCAAAATAGAAAGGTTAGAAAAATGAATGCTAAGACTGTCTTTTATTAATTAAGGGACTTCTGCTGCTAAATGCAAAGCTGACTGTATAGTGCTATTTGGTTCTAGACAAAGGGCTCAGCCCGGAAGCTTTACAGAAATTAATGGGGGTAGGAATGCTTCAGTACCAGGCCATAAATCACAGTTCTCTCCCTCTCTCACATGTTTGGAACAATATACTCTGGGACATCCTTTCCTATCTCGCCACCCTCCATATGAGTTGGTTAATCTAAATGGTAATTAATCCAAAATGGAAAACAGAAGCTTCTAATCCCCTCATGGTTACACTGGATAGGGGAATAGAAGGGAGAAGCACCTGTTACTCATAGCAGCTCCTCATAATGTTGAACCATGATTGTGTGTTATATTCAGACCTGATTATTGTATGAAACTGTACCAAGACTCCTGCTGTACCAAGAAGTGGGGATAGTAGTAAATGCTAATCTGTCTGAGAGAGTCATTGTGAAGAGCAATAGGAGAAAGACTCTGAACATCTTTGCATATTAAACTGAAGCACCAGAGGGAAAAATAATGAAAATTAATTTCCTTATGCTGGTGGCATTTTAAAAAAATGAATTACTTCAGGAAATAGCCGAAATGGATATCTTATCAGAAGTCATGAAAGATCAACCCCTGCAAAAGGCAACAGAAAGATGGGACTTATTTAACAAATGGACTGAATCAACAGGCAGTCGCTCAACATACGTAGATATTGAAATGAGAACTTTATATACAAGGCAGAAAAGAGTAAATAGAATGATTCAAAATCTGATATGGCAGTAGGTATAGATTGGATATTAGTATGTCATTGTCTCCCCTCTTCCTCACAAATCCCAACTCCCTTTTTCCTTTGTCACCCCTTATGTTAAAAAAAATCTGAAAAAAATGAATTACTTTAACATAAATCAAAATCAATAATAGCTAAAATAGCAATACAATATGTTTGGACACAAAATTATAATATTGGAAAAGGAAAGAATACGTGGAAAGTGGGGGAGTGAAGGAAGTGGGGAAAAAGAAAAGAAAACCAAAATAAAAAATTGTCTGGTGGCCAGATTATGAACCTGCTGTAACTTCCAGTGCTCCAAATTGGATTATGCCCACCATTTCACATATGAAAACAAAGGGATGTTCCTATACTTGCAATGCCCAATTTTTGCAACCAAGATCTTGATCCTCTCACACACAGCTATTATTCTTGACCAAACACTTGTTTGAATTTCTGTATTCTGCAGCTGCCAATCCCACACCAATGTCCGAAACAGAAACTAAGAAACAAAAAAAAAGAGACTGTAAATACTGTATTAGATGGATATCAACCCTGAGTGCTCACTGGAAGGACAGATCCTGAAGCTGAGGCTCCAGTAGTTTGGCCATCTCATGAGAAGAGAAGACTCCTTGGAAAAGACCTTGATGTTAGGAAAGTGTGACGGCAAGAGGCGAAACAGAAACTAAGAAACAAAAAAAGACTGTAAATACTATATTAGATGGATATCAACCCTGAGTGCTCACTGGAAGGACAGATCCTGAAGCTGAGGCTCCAGTACTTTGGCCATCTCATGAGAAGAGAAGACTCCTTGGAAAAGACCTTGATGTTAGGAAAGTATGACGGCAAGAGGAGAAGGGGACGACAGAGGATGAGATGGCTGGACAGTGTCTGCGAAGCAACCAACATGAAACTGACACAACTACGGGAGGCGGTGGAAGATAGGAGGGCCTGGAGTGCTCTGGTCCATGGGGTCACAAAGAGTCGGACACGACTAAACGATTAAACAACGACTGACATTCCCTCCTCAGCAAAATAGCATCATATGTGGGATTCCACCAGCATGAAGGCAGTGTTCCTAATGATTTATCCACCTTACTTCTTTGGCAAAGTCAGAGCATCAGAATGAGATTGTAAGTTTTGTTTGGGTACATAAAGGAAAAGATGGTCTTTCAGATGAACCGGTATTAGTAAACCGGTTGCAATAACTCTCCCTTTTTAAACTTAAGAATATTTAGTAGAATCTTTAATATCAACATGAATTTTGTAACAGTCACTAAAAGTTACTGTTGAAAACACATTCAAACAGTTATATTATGCAAAGCATAATGGGAAGCACTTCTCCTGTATTTTGCAACTATATGCAGCATGACATAGTGGGTGACGTACACAGGTTCAAATCTCCACTCACGAAGTAGGGCCACAGTAGTTGCTATCTCTCAGCTAAACCATCTCACAGTGTATCGTTGTGAAGATAAAATAGGAGAGGAAAGACCGTGTTTGCCACTTAGAATTTCTTGGAGGACAGATAGGAGGAAAATGTGTAAAATCCTCACCACAGTCTCCTTGTGGTCAAGTTATCTAAACACAGAGAAGAATACGGTATTAGGAAGAACAATACTATAATATAATAAAAAAGGGGGGCCTCACCAGCTGTAATTTGTGAAATCACAAGCTGTACACTAGGTGGTGTTTTAGCATAAATACAATGTACAATGGAGACAAGATATGGAAACAGATGAAACTTAAACCACAGAAATTCTGATTTGTGTACACTGAAAAACAAAAGGTAGCATCAGAAGATCTTCAGAAGGTACAAGCAGTAAACCAACTACAGGTACCAGAAAGGTAGAGAAAATATGAGCAAATGAAGTTTCTAAAAGGTCCTGTGACTGTAACGCTATTTCTTATTCCTTCAAATACACTTTTTCAAACCGCTACAAAACTCAAATTCAAACTTGCATTCAAAATCCTGCTACAGTATTGTCATTTATTTATCTTCCTCTAGACAACTGATAGCTGAAAAGAACCTTAGTGCCATATAAGGATATGAAATACATAATTGCATGTTGTTTTCTAAAAGGTCCTGTGACTGTAACGCTATTTCTTATTCCTTCAAATACACTTTTTCAAACCGCTACAAAACTCAAATTCAAACTTGCATTCAAAATCCTGCTACAGTATTGTCATTTATTTATCTTCCTCTAGACAACTGATAGCTGAAAAGAACCTTAGTGCCATATAAGGATATGAAATACATAATTGCATGTTGTTTTTTTTGTTCACTTTCTGGTTCTTCAAAGGGAAGAATAACATCTTAGGGTGGGATAGGAAGCAAAATTCAAAGAACGAGGCAATTATATATATGGCTTGATTAGTATTTGTGTTATTCCATTATTTCTTTCAGCCCCATATCTATCAGGCTCTGAGATAATCTTTGCCAGCTTAGTGGTCTTCAAACATGTTTCATGGCAACTCCCATTACCCCAGTTGCTTACTGGAAGGAAATAGGAACTGTAGTCCAGTTTGGCAGGTGGCCACCCATGTTGGGAAATTCCGCTCTGAGGTTTTAGGAAAGGTAGGATCTTCTCACTGATCCCTGCTCTGCCCTTAGGAGGTGCCATTTGGTTCTGCTTTACCGTCATGAAAGCTAACCTATTGAACTGCCAAGGTTATTGGGAGGTTACACACTTTCAAATCTATATAAGTAATTGTCACTTTAAGTTAGGGGGTCTCCAAACTTTTCACTATGAGGGCCACATTATATATTTTACACATTTTTGAGAGCCAAAGAAGGGAAGGAGGACCCAAGCGATCCTTTGCAAAGACAGCAGGGGTGGGGAATCGCTTGGGTCCCCCTTCCCTCCTCTTCGTATGCCTGGGCTGGATAAAAAGGCAAGGTGGGCTGGATGTGGCCCACAGGCTGTAGTTTGGAGACCACTGCTTTAAGTCATTGCACATTGATGAGCATTGTACAAAAACAGTAGATTTGATTGGATAGAATTATTGTAGAGTTGAAAGGGAGATGTCCTCCAAGTCAAGGAGACTTGACTTGAGTATTCCTAGAGTTTATGGGAATGTAGGAATAGGGACATATCAGCATTACTTTTCTGCCACATTTACCTATTTAGCTCTGTTTTGAACATTCATGCAAATAAGAAAATGGGAACAAATTGGTTGTAGTAAATAATTTGTTATCATAATTCTTGACAATTATCAGAACTTTGAATGGATATGCAGGATAATGATTTGAGGCATTCACACAGAATGGAGGATGAAGTGATGAGCAGAAGCCCCGGACACTTCTGCATATATATTAGTTTTTAGCATCAGAAGAGAAGAATGTTCTAAGAAGCCAGCATGCATATAAGCCATACAGAACAATTACTGTAAAATGCGGTTTCTATGAATTGATATATATAAAACAATTAAGAATGTCTTCTTTATATTCGCTACAGAGTACTTTTGACATTTAAAGTCCCTGATTTAGAGCACATTATCTGGGCTATGAAACTACTCCACTTTTTAATTTTTGAT